AAATATAGTAATTTATATTAATATTTAAATTTTATTAAAATATATAAATTATTATCTATTAGATATATATTAATTCTAGTAATGACATATTTACTTTTAAAAAATAAACTTTTTGGAGAGAGGATCATTTAAAAAATTTTAAAAATGTATTTTTATTGATTTTAGAGAGGAAGGGAGAGAGAGAGAGAGAGAAACATCAATGATGAGAGAGAATCATTGATCAGCTGCTCCCTTGTGAATCAAACTGTGACCTTCTGGTTCATAGGTCGATGCTCAACCACTGAACCACGCCGGCTGGGCAAAGGGAGGGTCATTTTAGATTAACAGGAAAGTACAAGGTTATAAAGCTACAAAGATAGTGCAGCGTTCCCGTATGTTCTTTGCTCAGATAAGTTAACATCTTATGTGATCGCAGTCCATTTTCTGGGACTGAGAAACGGACACGGATACTTAACGTCAGTTCACGATGATTAGCTAGACTCCAGACGTCCTTCCGATTTCCTCAGTTTCCCGTTAACATCCCTCTATGTCCCCGGACCCCATCCAGGGCCCCACATTGTGTTTAGTCGGCATGTCCTTAGGCTTCTCTGTCTGTGACAGTTTCTGTCTTCCCTTGTTTTTTTTCATGACCTTGACCACTTTGAGGAGTACTGGTAGGTGTTTTGTAGAATGTCCCTCACTCTGGGCTTGTCTGGTGTTTTCTTGTGATGAGACTGGGGTGATAGGTTTCTGGGAGAAAGATCACAGAGGTGATGTTCCCTCTCCAAGCCATCATATCAGGGGTATCGGGTACTTGATGCCCACCTGACATCACAGGTGATGCTAACCTTGGTCCTTTGGCTAAGATAGGAAAGACAGATCAATTTTGAATACACGGTTGATGTGACTAATGTTGATGGCTACTGTTTATTGAACACTTACTATGTCGCTATTGTTTGCTCCATGACATGGAGCTAAATATGCTAATTGCCTTCATGACATGTCTGCCATCAAAGCCATACTCAGGATCTGGGATCTGTGCTTTGAAATGGGGCTGGATTTACAGCTCAGCCTGGCCCCTTTCCAGCTGTATTGACTTCTCGCAGGCTTATAGCCTCAGTTTTCTCATCTATAAAATGGAACTAGTCAGAGTTAGTATGTCATGGAGTCATTGTGGGGTTTAAACGGTCTTGTCCTAGCCATGACCTCATTGGAGCTCTAAGCAGCATGTCAAACCTAGCCAGTTAAGAAGTCCCACATGAAAGAACAAATAGGAACTCCTCGAAAGTAGCAGAAAGCATAATGCATGTCAGCAATGGCGTCTCGGGCATGTTACTCTCCAGATACCTTGCTCAGCTTTCTTTTCTAAAAACTTTTTATTTTGAAATTCACAGGAAGTTGCCAAAAAAAAATAGTAGAAAGAAGTTCCATGTATTCTTTTTTTTTTATTATTTTTATTTTTATTTTAAAGAAAAAGGAGTTTATTACTTTCTGGCCCTGGAGTGGATGAGGCAAACCACGGGGCACACAGCAAGGTGGTCAGGGGAGCGTGTGCGAGAGAGCAAGCCTGGGTATCTGCTTTTCATTTATTTATCTATTTTTTAAAAATATTTTTATTTGATTCCAGAGAGGAACAGAGAAGGAGAGAAAGAGAGATAGAAACATCAATGATGAGAGAGAATCAGGGCTGCTACCTGCTCTGGGACAAGGGTCTGCCACAGGATGGCCCGAGGACCAAATCCAGCCCACCGTTCGTTTTTTTGAGTAAAGTTTTATTGGGACATACTGGAGAGCATTCATTTGTCTAAGGTTATGCCATGTCACTCAGCGCATGTTGAGCTTCAGAACCACTACCCCCACCTCCCAAATGTGTCTCCCCAGTGTCCCCACTCAGGCCAGCGGATGACACACACTCTTCCCTTCTCCTCTACTTCTGCAGTCATCGAGTGGGAGATAGAACGGGGTCTGCTGAGCTTGACAGATGGGGAGCAGGGGGCCACTGTCTTCTTGAGGGAGATCCAGGACCTGAACAGACACATCCTGGAAGACTGTGCCCTGAAGCTGGTGGACCGGCTCGCAGACGGCTGCCTGGACACAGACGCCCAGAACCTTCTCAGCAGCCTCAAGGGGCGCATCGCTGACATGCAGCCGGGAGTCCTCAAGGCCCACCACCTGCCGTGGAGCCGAGACCTGGTGAACCCCAAAAATAAGGCTCACGCCCGGTACCTGCAGGAGCTGGGGGAGCAGTTTGTGGCCAGGGCTAACCACCAGGTGCTCCAGCGCCTCCGGGAGCTGGAGGCGGGCCGGCAGGAACTGGCCTGGCTCTACCAGGAGATCCGCCACCACCTGGGGCTGAGTGCCGAGGCCACCAGGACCTTCTGTGGGCGCCAGGAGCTCCTGGCCCGGGTGGGGCAGCGACTCCGGCAGAGTGACAATCACCCCCACACGCCCCTGGTGCTTCTCGGACCCCCAGGCATCGGGAAGACGGCTCTGATGTGCAAGCTGGCGGAGCAGATGCCGGGGCTGCTGGGCGGCAAGACGGTGACCGTCCTGCGGCTTCTGGGGACATCACAGATGAGCCGCGATGCCCGCAGCCTGCTCCGGAGCATCTGCTCCCAGGTGTGCCTGGCCTACGGGCTGCCCCTGCCTCCCGCCCAGGTCCTGGAGGCCCACAGCAGGGTGGTCCAGTTTTTCCACACCCTCCTGCACACCGTCTCCTGCCGAAACTTCGAGTCCCTTGTGATCCTGCTGGACGCCGTGGATGATGTGGACTCCGCCCACCGTGGGAGGAGGGTCCCCTGGCTGCCTCCCAAGTGTCCCCCCAGGGTCCACCTCATCTTCTCGGCCTGCTCAGGGCAGCGGGGAGTTTTAGACGCCGTGCAGCAGACGATCAAGGACCCAGAGTCCTACTGGGAGGTGGGACCCCTCTCCAGCAGCCAAGGGCAAGAGATGATCCGGCTCCTGCTGGCGGCCTCCAGGAGGACGCTGAGCCCAGGGCAGAGGGATCTGCTCTGGGCCGGCCTCCCGGAGTGCGGGCACCCCGGGCAGCTGAGGCTGGCCTTTGAGGAGGCCCGGAAATGGGCGTCCTTCACCGTGCCCGCCCCTCTGGCCTCCACGGCTGAGGACATGCTGCACGAGCTGTGTGCCCGGCTGGAGCAGACCCACGGGCAGCTCCTGGTGGCCCGAGTGCTGGGCTACATTGTGTCTTCCCGGTAAGTCTCTGTTTTTTCTCCACATTAAAAAAAACAGTCCTGGATTAGTTTTATTTTTTTATGCCAGTAAATAGAGCTCATGTACAAGAAAAATACAAAACATGCCACATGAAAGTTCCTCTCTTAAAAATAAATGTGATTTAATGTACTAAGTTGCTATCTAATATACAACTCATACTATAATGCATATTGCTGAGAAACATTAGTTGCAATGCATGTTCTTTCTTTTTTTGTTTTAAATCCTCACTCGAGCATGTGTGTATTGATTTTAGAGACAGGAAGGGGGAGGGGGGAGAGATAGGTTGCCTCCCATACCTGGGATTGAACCCACAACCCAGGTATGTACCCTGATCGGGGATGGAAGCTTTCAGTGTGTGGGACAATGTCCAACCAACTGAGCCGCACGGGCCAGGGCAGTTGCAATGCATTTTTTGGAAAGGTGCTTTTGGCCTTATTTTTTACACATAAAATAATTTTTAGGTTTTTTTTGAAAACAAGGAAATTCTCAGAAAACCTCAAGCAAAAACCTTGCACAGACCTGAGGGAGTCTGATGACAGTTTATAATATTAATCTTACCTTCATTATTATTATTATTTTCAATATTACCTTGTTCTAGATCATATATTGTTTCTTTTCCAGCCACCCCCATCCTCCTCCCCATTGGTAACCATCAGCTTGTTTCTGTATCTATGCGTCTGTTTCTGTTTTGTTTTGCATATTTATTTGTTTAGTGTTTTAGATTCCACATATAAGTTAAATCATACGGTATTTGTTGTTGTCTGACTTATTTCACTTAATAGACAACCCTCTCTAGGTTATCCGGGTTGTCACAAATGGCAAGATTTCATTCTTTTTTATGGCAGAGTAATATTCCACTATATAGATATAGATATAGATATAGATAGATATACCAATATTTATCTATCTATCTATCTATCTATCTACA